AGGTCAGGCCTCTGGCTGACACACAAAGGGAACACAAAGGTACGAGGAACACAAACCGTGGATTTCGGCATGGACACTGGCCCAAAGTGCCACACACTTGTCAGAGTTCGTGGTGTATCCTACAAATGCAGGTGTTACACTCTCACCTTTGTGTGGCTGCATCCTGGAGCGCGCTGCGCACCCTGCCTGGGGTAAGCATCCTTCCTTTCCATGGGGCAGGGAAATGTTTTTGTTGTTTTCCCTTTCAGTGGCCAGCACAAGGAAGAGGCAGGGCTGGCTTTCTGCTTGGCAGCTTGGTGAGGCCGCTTGGGTGTTTCCCCTTTGCTGATACCCATGTTTACAGTTGGGCTGAGGGGAGGAATGAAACTTTAATAACTGCAGAAGAGTTCCCTGATAAAGCAGTTGCAGGCATTATCTCTTCAAGTTTGTGAAAGTGCCTGCCATTAGAAAGCAAGGAAGGGGTACACAGGCTGAGGTCTTATATTCAGCTCCTGTTTTAGCTCTCTCTGGGCCACTTCCTTGCTAGCAGCCTTCTTGTCTAGTAAATGCTAGGCTGCTATGGTTTTGGACAAGTAAATTCTTGCTTGTAGAAAGCAAATAGTAAAATCAGCCCATTATGTTGCCATTAGACTGAAAACTGAGAAATGCTGTGTATGGTAATAAGCAGCTCCCTGCTGTACCTGAGCAGCAGGAAGTGTGATCTGTGCTTCCTTCCCCAGCGAGTTTCACAGCCTCCTATGGTATTTATTTATAAAAACCCCAAACCAGAAACCTCCACGGGTCTCTGCCTTTCTCCCTACTCTGCAGAACTGCAAAGAGCAAACACCAGGCTGACACCAGGCTCTTCTGGTGTGCTTGCAAGCTGAGATGATGCTCAGGAAGCTGCATGAAAAGTCTGCGTCCTATCTCTCTGTTCAGAGAGATCAGCAAGAGCCCTGGAGGAGGAAGCCCTGGGCTCCCTCGTCCTGTCGATGCAGGGAGCCTCATCCTTGCTGCAGTCCTGTTGGGTTCAATCTCTGTTTTCAGGCAACTTCACTGATCCTGGTTGAGCCGGCAGAAGAGAAGGGCAGCAGCACCGGTTGTCCTGGGATGGAGCCCCTGGAAGAGCCAGGCTTTCCTTTTGGAAGCCCCCAGACCTCTCATGGAGCACCACGGTGGGACCAGCCCGGGGAGCAAGCAGCATTTTGTGTGGGGCTGGCACAGGGGGCTCTTGTCCGGGGCCTTGCCAAGCATGATGGTGTCATTTATTGCCATCCTCCGTGTCCCAAATGAGGCTGTGGCACCTGGTGAGCACTGTGGGATGGTGTGGGATGGAGCATGGCTTGGGGACCCCTCTGGCCATACCGCCAGCCAAGGGAGCCGCTGGCAGCGCGGTGTCGGTGGCTGCTGGCATGCACTGCTTGGAGCATAATTGGCTCATTAGGGCTAATGATATGCTGCAGTCTCAACTGTAAAGAAAATATTATGTTTGCACTTCAAAAGCTCATGCTGAGCTCTTTGTAATGAGTATTTTTTTCATTCTTTCATGACTATTTTTTTAAATAAGTTTGGAGGGGACCAGTTCCTCTTTGTGCAGTTAGTAAATTCAAGTGGTCAGAACACAGCCATCAGAAAGTCAGGGTCTTTTAACAACAGGAGTAATGATAATGTGCTAGTAGTCTGTGCAGTGACAGATGCACTTTCGTTTAAATGCACTGCTGATGTGTTTTACTGAGCTGACTTCTCTCTAGTCCTGTGATTCTATCAGCTAGGAATCCAGGCTCATTATGTGATTGCAAGTCGCTTCTGGATTTCATTAAATCAGCAAATGGGCATTAGCTAGATATTTACATCAGCTCAACTTGTGATAATTTATCCAATTGGACAATTGTTGTTTTACAAAAAAAAAAATGTCCTGAGGGATCATGATTCATTTTCATCTGCCTGGATAAGTGTCGGTACAACCCCTGCAGCTCAGCTGCATGACCGAGGAATCGCAGCCCTGCTGCAGGTGCTGGTGATCACCCTGCTGTCCATTCAGGCTTTCACCCCTGCCACATGGGAAAGGGGGAGTGAAATGCTGGTGCAGCTTAATATCAATGGATTTACATTGGGGAATTAAAAATAATAATTTGTGACAACTCAACTTTTATTTAAATAGAACGGTCAAGTTTTTGAATAAAACTACAGTGTTAAGAACCACTGAACACCTTGGGCTGTGTCCAGGACACAACAGGTTGTATCCTGCATGTGGCAGGACGTAGGCTTAATTCTCCTTCTGCTGTGACCTTGTGTTGTTGCTGAGGTGGTGTGCAGTAGGAATCTGCAGCTTTGGGATGCTGGCAGATCGCACCCCCTCCTAGCAGGTGCAGATGATGACTTCAGTCACCATGCAGCAACCTACAGAGGTCCCTGAAATAATAGGGTTTGCTATAAACTGGAAATGCTCTGAGGGAGAAACAAGGTGTGGAAGGTGCGGATGTGGGATTTAACACCACGTGTTGACAGCCTGAATTTGCTGACGAGTAAGCACCCGTTGCACAAGAGATAAGGTGCGGGATCGCAGAGGTGAACCCAGCCTGGCGATGGTTCTGCCTGTGGGACCGTACCTGTTCTGCTCACAGAAAGAGCAGGCTGTGGGGCTGGGAGAAACGAGCACCTGGATTTATTCGCTGTTGAAGTCAGTAGGAAAAGTCCCTCTGAACGCACCTGAGGTTGGACTGCTTTCTCCTTCTTTCCTAATCCTCTCATAACCAGTTTCATATTCATCCAGATTTAATTTCATGTACATGCGAAGTCTGACTCAGCAAGAAATATTATCAGCTTCCATTCAAACCTGCAGAAAACTTGGGGGGAAAAAAAAGTCAACCTTCCCAGAACAGACATTAAATAAGCCCTTCATTTTGCTGAATCAGGCCCTGAGTGTGCCTGGACCCTTATTGTTTTGAAACTTAAGCTGACCCACAACCTAAGAACTAGATAAAAGCACACGATTCATTGGATATAACAAAATTCCTCAGGCAGTAGTGCTGAGTGGGAAAAGCTGCAGATGTATTGATATTTAGGGTAAAGTTTATTAAAAATTTAGCTTTAAAGGAAATCTAAGTAAAATATATTCCTCTGGTAAAGCCTTGCAGAATGCTCTTAACATCTCCAAGTATACCAAGCCTCTAAAGGCTGCGAGCAGTGTCTCCTCCTACAGCATCTATCCCCGGGAATGATTTTTCTTTTTCCTGACTTTGCAGCTTTTAAAAAAAGCAGTTACTACGGATATTTTCTTCCTGCCTGTTTTCCAGATACAGCCTTGTATTTTTAACAACATGCAGCTAGTAACTTCCTAAGTTTACAGATTGCACGATGAAATACTTGAGTTCAGAGGAAGCTGCAAGTCGTACAGCCATCGGTGTCAAGCACCCTTAAAGGCGGGGATGATCCACCCACACCAGCAGCCCCACTGCAAGAGGAGGGACTGGGAGCGCTGCTGCTGAGGTTGGCAAGTCTGAGTCCTGCAGAGAAAGAGAATGTGGAAATCCCGCTGAGACTGCCCTGCCTCCAGCTATACAAATTGAGACAGCGATTCACCTGCTCGCTTCCAGCGCGGTGGTCCCTAGAGAAGGAGATACCTCTCTAGGACCTGAGCCATAAAGAGGAGGGATTTATAGATCAGTATCAGCAGACATGAGTAATACCTGGAAGCAAAATTCTCTGTGTTGTACTTCTATTGCAAGCACAGACTGCAAGCAGAGCTAAAGCACTTCCTTTTTTTTGCTTTGATTAGAGTGGAGGACGGGAGTGGGGACTCTGAGCTGCATTCATCTCCAGGCCACTGACTTGCTAGGGATTCTGGATAAGTCATTTAATCTCCGTCTTAGTTTCCTCATCTGTAAAGCCTGGGGAATAAAATTTTGCTTTTTGGCTGGAGCTCAGGCTGAAAGGAAGTGTAACTTGCAAGAATACTGCTCCATGCTCAGACTTCAATAGCTTTGCTTGCGCCCTGAAGTTGTGCAAGTGAAGGGAGCGGGGGGCTCAGGGAGGGCACCGGCACTTAGCCCCTGTTGCTGTGTCCCTGCTGCTGTGGCTCTTGTCCTTTGTACCTCACCTTGAGTGTCCCCAGGGACGGCTGCAGTCCTTGCTGTGTCCCCGCTTATGTAAGGAGGCAACGCTGTGCTTGCAGGCGTGCACCAGCTCTGCATTGTGGCTCTCACAGAGCTATACAGCCAAACCATGCCCTTACAGCTCTTCATGGGGCACTCAGACATCTCTACCAGCAGTAAGGTTTTTATTTCCAGTTTATTGAAATTAATTGTTGCCATTAGCTTTAAGTGAACATACACTATACAGTTGAATTACAGTTTGTGCTAGGAGCAGGAAAAGGCCCCAACTGGTCACAGAGCACAGGGCCCTGTGCGGTGAATGTGGTGAACTTCTGACCCTTCAGGCATAGCCGCTGCCACTCACAGTCCCGGTGACAGACAGCTGACCTCGCAGTGTGCATTCTGCATTTCACATTCTCCTTGAAACACAACTCTATAACATATCCAGGTCAGTATTACAGCTCTTCATCCTTTACGGCTGCATTAATAAAACAACTCCATTGCTCAAGCGCCGCTTCAGAAAGCGTTTTTTTGGCTGAAAACCTGCCTGGATGACGGCAGCTCCGCTGGGGGAGCTCCCAGCCCCACACACCCCCCAGGGGCAGCGCACCCCACCCCACCCTGCGCTGCTGTCAGCACGCCTGCCCCCATAACGCCTGGATTCAGAACCACTCTCGGCCTCATTATCCGCTCGCTCCCTGCCTGTTTTCACCATCGCTGTCCCCTCTGCCCACCCTGAGCCCCCTCCCCGCGCTGTGGCAGTGTCCGGGCGAGGCTTGGGGGGCTCCCCACAGCCCCACTAGGACCGGAGCAGGGGGTGCGGAGGCAGCAGCGGGGTGCGAGGCCCAGGCCCGGTGCCCCCCCCGCCGCCTCCCGCAACTTTTCCGGGGCCTCCCCGCTGCCGGCCCCGGCCCGTTCCCTCCCCGCTGGCTCCTCCCCAGGCCGCGGCCGGTGAAGGGCGGAGCGGAGGCGCCGCCGCCGCCGCGCACAGCAGCCGAGCCCGGAGCCGAGCGGCGGCGGTGAGCGGCGGGGGAAGGGGACGGGAAGAAACCGGGGGAGAAGGGGGGGGGTGCGGGGGTCTCGGGGTGTCCCCCCCGTGCTCAGCGCCGCAGCTGTGGGGGGGGTGGCGGAGGCTGCGCGGCCCCTGCCCCGCTTGGGGCGGGTGCCCGGGGGCTCCCCGGCCATCATCCATCTTGGGCCGGCCCCGGCGGTGCCACGGGGCGAGGGAGGCAGCGAGGGGCGCTCCCGGAGGACAACGGGGCTGAGAGGGGGAGAAGGGGCCCGGGAGGGGGTGGGGGGGGGGCTCGGTCAGGGCCCGGTGGCTCCGCTCCTCGCCCTGGCCGAGGCTCCCCCACCCCCGCCCGGCCCAGGCCGCTCCCTCCCGGCGGCGGCCTCCGGGCCCTGGGTGCGGGGCTCCCCTGGGTGCCGTGTCCCAACCGGAGGACTTCGGCCTGGCCCCGTGGAGCTGAGGGCGGCTCTCGGGACTTTGCTTCGCTGGCAGCCCAGGAAGGGCACGCCACGGGAGCTGCTTCTGCTTCTGCCTTCCTTGACTTGACAAGGGCGACGGTGCTGCCGAAAGCACTCGTTTTGGTTTGGAAGCGCCCGGCCGCCTTCGGAGCGTGGTGTCGGCGCTTCTTGGCGTTGCTGGCGCTTCTGGGATTTAGTTTTAGCAGCAGGATTGTTCGAAATAGAAAGATCGTTCCCTTATTGCATGGAGGGAACAGGCTGCTTAACTGGGAGGCGCTGCCTGTGCTCTGAAATGTTCCCCGGTTGGGTTTTGGTTGGTGTGTTTGTGCCTGAAACAATCTGTCAGGCGTTCTCACTGGTGCTAGCACGGCCCTCGGGGTCAGCCAGACATTTAATGCGGCTTCCTGAGGCTTTGGGACAGTTGCGGACGCAGCCAGGGAGAAACAGAAAGTAATGCGTTACCAGTCAGAGGCGTGTGCCTGCCTGAGGAGTTATCAGAAATGAGGCAATGCAGAGGGAAGTTTTAAATGCAACACCCATGCCTGTGTGGTATCCGCGACGTTATTATTTCACAGAAGCGGTGTGGGTCGCCATGCCCGAAGTATGAAATACTTTCTCATTTTTCTGACATCATTATCACGTTGCTATAGCGATTTCATTACGCTGGGAATGCCATGCTCGCATCGTGTTGCTATGGGAAAGATCAGCATTATAAATAAAAATATTTAAGGTTCTGTTCATTGTCCAAAAAAAAAAAAGTCACCAGTTTGTTGACACGATTGCCCAGAGCCTGACCCCCTGAAGTTTTTAATGCAGGGCTGTAGATGGGGAATCGCCCGTCCTGGCCCAGCAGAGCGTCCCTTTGGTGTGGAGATGGGCCGCGAGCACGCCCGTCGTTCGCCCAGGCAGAGTCCTCAGGAAGCGCTGTGCTCCCGTGGACGGGTCTAAAAATAATCTGTTTTCATGTGCAGGACTTGCACCCGATCACGCAGCGGGCAGAGAGGAGTAGTTGTGTTCTCTCAGGCCGAGATGTCGCAGGGAAGTGAGTTGTGCTTCTTACAAACAGATGCAGGGCAGCGCGTCCAGCAGGGTGCAGTTGGCCGGGCTGGGGGCTGCTCGTGGTGCACAAGACATTTTGGGAGGTGCTGGGGGGCCCAGGCGGGCTGGAGGAGCCGGGAGGTGCCGTCCGCAGCCTCAGCGAAGCGAGGAGCCGGGGCTGTCGTCACGCGTCTTGGCTCTGGGCTGGCGGTTTGTAGGGTAAGTAGCTTTGCTGAAGATTTTGAGGACCGCGTGCCAAACAGGGACTAAATTACTAGCGCAGTGTAATGCCAGTGACACGTTAATGCTTTTATTTAGAGACTAATGTTTACGCAATTTATCAACATAGTTTATATTTGAAACCATAAGCTGCAAGAATACAGACACAAACTATCTGTGATCCATTTCGCCTCTGCTCATCCAGTCTGAGAGCACTGTCTGTTCTTAAGAGAAATTGAAATGTAATTAAATGACAGCAGCGAAACATGTGGACCTACTCTAATGTCAGTGTTTTATTTTTATATTAAATCACAATCTCGAGGCATAAACAACATAAGCATTTGTTTGTACTACTACATTGCAGTATTTTGTCTTGTGCCATGTGTGCGCACAGTGTACTTGGTGGCACATGAAAACTTTTCAGGATATTAATGCGGGAGACTTCCTATTTTGTTGCTTTTCGTTTCTGATGTGCCAGGGTAATGTTAAACATCAAGCACTTCTAGTAACTGGGTGTGTTTCGTTCTGCAGAAGCAGATTCGAGAGAGACCTGACTTCTAAAACCCAGCCAAGTCCTGGGGTTGTGTTTGGATTTTTCTTTTGCATTGACTTTTTTTTTTTTTCCCAAGAGCAGTTAGTGGGTGTGGGGGTTAGAGTACAGCCTGAATTCACATTATGCTGAGCTCTGTAGTAGTTATTGATTTGCTTTTACTCAGATTAAAGGGCTTGTTGTTTATTCTGTAGCAGCAGAAGTTCATGTAACAATTCAGCTGCAGTTGTGCATGATCCTAATGTCCAGCAGTTATGCTCAGTTTGCTGATCTTTTTCGTACGTTAATTGAACGGTTTCTTATATTTAGTAGATGATAGGTTATTAAGCAGAACTGTAATGAAAACATCCTGTTAAAAGAGTGCTCATAAACCCCAGGGTCCATTTTTTAATTGTGCATTTGTGTTTTGTTTGCACTTCGCAAAAGCTACTGATCCTGCAAAGGTGACTCCTAATGGCTGAGATAAGTACGGATGTTAGGAAGTTGGAAGGGAAACTTCCTCTTGCTGAGCTCTCTTGTTTGCTCCAGCCTGTCTTGCTGAGGTGCTGAAACTGATGAGAGGTGCTTGGTTTTATTTGTTAGTACTGAAGTGTGGTGGCAGCAAGGATTTGAGATCATTCTGGTTCCTGGACTGCTTTCTGGGTGCAAGTTAATGTCACAAAAAGTTCACCTCTCAACCAGTGTTTTCGGTGGGTTATATCCTGGCATCACGAGTGCAGAAGGAGTAAAGGAGGACCTGGCTTTTTGTTCATAAAGGCCCAGATTGGAACAGGAGTACAGCTCTCTGACGTAAGTAGAAAATACAGCGTGCTCCAGTACGCTCTCCACTGCTAGTGTTGCAAATATAATCAGGCTCAGTCTATTTTATTTCATAAAAATGGCGAAATAGATTTATTTCAGTCCTAGGTATACAAGAGATAAATTTCATTAGGTAGCCCAGTAGGGGAGAGACGGTTTTCATGGGTAAAGCATTTCCCAGAATGCTTGACTTTTTTTTTTTTTTTTCCTAAGACTGTACAGTTAGAAGCAGTAGTTGGTGTTTTCACCCTTTGCAGTTGGATATGAGATTAGAGCTCTGAGGCAAGTCACAGATTTAACTCCTTTGATTTCCAATCGCCAGTTTTTTTATTGTTGGGCTGTCAGGAGCACTTGGAAGCAGTTAGGAAACCAACTGATCCATTTTAGTGTCCCCAACGCTGACTAATACTAGAGTGACAAAAATCCATGTTGCAGCAATGTGAGCTGTCTGTGGGTAGACTTCTATATAAATATATTGACATAGAAATAACTTCTGATTAGCCTGCATATTTACTTAAAACTCACATGCTGTAAAAGTAGAATCGAGCCACATATGACATTATTTTTGTGCATCAGTGCTTAGCTTTCTTCACTACAAGCCCTCTACCCCCTAGGAAAGTTAGTGCAAGAGTGATAACGTACTTGAGTACTCTTTGACAGCCCAGGCCTGATGTGGTTCAGATTTGTGTGTGTGACAGCCCTGTGCTCTGACTTGACCCGAGGCTGTCGTGCCCTGCTCTCAGCCGTGTGGTTGGTGAGGTTTTGCTCTCTGTGTTCCCGTCTGGGTGCCCGGCAGGTCCTGGGTGGCAGGTTTGGGCCAGGTTGCAGCGCTGAGACCAGCAAAGGGACCGACTACTTGTCCTTAAACAGGCTCTCTGGAATGAATGGCTTCCTTGGATTCATAAAACAGACAAAATTTTTACAGTATGTGCTGTTTTTCCTTGCTACATGGCTGAGTTTTTTTAATAATATGCTTTTTAGGCTGCTATTTAGCTAGAAAACCTGGCATTCGACTTAGCATGTGTTAATGTGAGATTTTTAGGAGAAACCTGGTTACAGTGCATGAAACAGGATGTTACATTTCATAAAGTATCACCAGGACTGAAAGCAACTGCGAGATCAAAAAGCATTCAAGCAGGCATTGAGGCTCCGGCCTTCAGGGTTAATTTGCTTTTCCTCCTGTGTCAGAGCCGGCCATGGAAAAGCATCCTCCCGGGTTGGAGTGGATTCGCTGTGGGTGACAGCCCTGAGGGGCAGAGGAGGTAACTTGTGTTTTGTAGGCAGCGTCTTCCACATGCAAAAAATGATTTTTCCAATGATGGTACACGAAGTGGAGGTTTTTAATGCCTGTGCTGACCGGTTTACCCCGTAGTGTTAGCAGCAAAGGAAAATGAGAATATTTGACAAATGCTGCTGTGCAGATGAGCGGGGTAGGTTCCGAGGTCACTTGGCAGGAGCAGCCCGGGTTGCAGCGAGGGAGATGCCAGAGGAAAGCAAGGGCAGGCGGCTCCGTGGGAGCAGGGGTCGGGGCAGGGGCCTTGGGAGAGATGCTGTGGTGCAGGGCTTCGGGCTGGGTTTTGTGGTCACCGCATGCAGCTCGCATGTGTCGTGCACCCCAGTGTTTCCCATGCTCTGCCACTCGTGCTCTTCGCTGTTGGGGTAACTCAAGGAGCTGAGGTAGCTGAAAGCCGAGCCGGCCCAAGAAATACAGAGGTAGTTTTCAACCAGATCGCTTCTTACTCTGACTCATTGAGTGGTTGTGCAAGCACCAGTGCTGGTGGAGGGAAGGAGCTGCAGAGAGCACAGGAATACCCCTTTCAGCAGCAGCTGGCACTTAAATTGACTTAAAATGGTCAAAAGCTGCTCGTGACTACGTGTGACTTCGGCAGCATCTTTCTGTCAGTCCTGCAGTCCAGGTAACACGGTGGCTGCTTTCCCTGCCACGTC